CCATCCCACTGACACTGGAAGGCAGGGCCCAGAGCAAATTAAACTTAATTAATTGAAATCCTAAGGCACTAGAAGGGAATTCCTTTCCTCAGATGGAAACATCTCAGGTAAAAGGACCCAAAAGAGCAATTAAAAAGCTGGTGATAACAACAGAGACCACCTTCATGGCTTCCTTTTTGCCTTAGAGAGGAATGGAGAGCCAGAGACAGGTCTTGTAGATAATACTGTTCCTGCCACTCATCGGGGGATTGGCAAGGTACTCATTTTCCCAAGTCACTACATAAAACTTTTGTTTCAGAAGGAGGCCCACTTAGTATAACACTAATAATCCAAATATTTGCTCAGAAGAGGAAATGCTCTAATAAAACACAAACACACCCTCCCTGCAATAAGAATGTTTCAATTGTTAAAGCCAGATTAAATATACCAAAAAGAGAAAATCGAGAGAGATTTTAAAGTAAAGCAAGGCATGGAGATTTATAATAGGTAATCATCTTTAAAACAGCTTAAAAAATATCCTGCCAATTTCCCAAAAACATGCCAAGGAAAATATGTAAAACAACATGATTTCCGCTCTAAATGCTGCATGATATATGCACTCTATACTAAAAATACCTAAGTTTGTTTTCCAAGTTTGTTGGTGACTTTTCTCCTGAAAGTATCACCTAAGGACAACTGCTTTCATCATTAAGCAAACTGGAGTGACCTTATGACAGTGGCCTCTGCAACCCTTGGCTATCCAGGATCAATGCAGTAGATGCTTCCTGGCCATTGGATCCTCCTCTGCACCAAGTGGGTCTCCAAGGTCTACCTTGTCACCATTCACATGGTTCCCCAGCCCCTTGTCCACCTCCACCTGAGTGTGCACCAAAAAGCAAATTCCAGTGTTCCAACAGCAAATGCATCGGCTTCTGGCAGAAGTGAGCAGATGGTATATTTATAATTATGATACAGTGTAAGTGAGGACTTCAAGAGATAAAAGTCAGTGCAGCAATAAATGGAGAGGCCAAATCACAAAGAAATGGCAATTCTGCTTCTCAAAAAGCTTATTGCTTTTCTAGAATATCCACTATTGCATAGGTTTATTTCAGAGAACTATCACACAATTCTCAATTTCCTGCAGCTAGCGGGCCATTTCCCTAGGATTACAATTGTGCCCATACTTCATTTCTGCTGAAGAACATGCAAATGGTTTAAATATCTTGAGGCTCCTGTACTACTTTTCCAGTGTTCTGCCTACAGATGTACACTCTCACATTTCTTGTGTATTTTGTTTCTTTGAGGGATGAACTGCTTGGTGAGACTATTTTATGTGTACACATGGGGAGAAACCCACCTTTTTAGAGTGGCTCCTCTATGACAGAAGTTGTATACTCAGAATTGCACACAATCCATAGGACATTTCGCAAGAGGAGAAGCAGCAAAACCTGCAGGATGGCCAACCTCTTAATCTTCTGACCTGCTCCTGCACAACCCTGGCTGCATAATTATAAACAATCTGACGGATGCTGGAGGATCCTGATGGATATCTGGTGAACTCTGGGTGAGTTCCTGGGGATATGGAGAATAGCTTTTGCATTGAGGCAACCTGATGGGAAGAAATAAACTTCCCTGCAAGTGGCTATAGGATATGACATGTGCTAAGGCAGAGCAATGCTTTTATTGCATGAGGCAGATCACACTGTTCCTCCACTCAGAATTCTCCTCACCTTTCTCCAAGTTGAAGCCAAGCCCTCACAATGACCACCTATCTCTCTCATCACCCTGCCAACTCCCACACCTTCTTCTAGTTGTCCTGTCAACTTACCAGACTGCTCATATGGCAACCACTGCATTTGTTGTACCCCAGAGAGTCACACATTTTTGCCCAAACATCTTCTCTACAGGGTCTCCTATTGTGTCACACTCCACCTCGTCCTTTGAATCTTGCTTACCTCATTGCAAGTCTATTTCCTTCCCATAGAAACTATCACCTTCCAATATACTAGGCAGTTTGCTCATCCACTCTGTTCATTTTCTGAAGCCCCATCCCTGCTGCTAGAATGTGCTACTCCATGCCAACCATATGGCCTCCCGGCATCATTGGACACACAATAAATATATTATATGCTTCAAAGAATAACCCAGAGATATATGAATATAACTGGAAGAGCCCCTCTGTTTTGATTGAGGCTCCTCAAAGGAGCCCCCACAAAGGCACAGTTTGACTTGGAGGAAGAAGCTAGGGATGCAGTGATAATCTGCAGAGCCAGTAGGAGCCTGCAGCTGGGCTGAGCAGAGAGCCAGGTGTGGAGAAAGAGAGCTGTGACTGCTCATGCTGATTCCCAGACAGGGCTGGTGGGAAGGGCTGGACACTTGCTCTCCTCCAACCCAGCTTTATGAACTTCTCCCAGAGTCTGAGAATCCACTTTTAAGGGTGTTAGTTGGGAGTAATACAAGATAACTAGTATTTTATGGCAATTTTTGTGACTTGTAGTTTTTCCCTGGAATGGAATCAATGGGCAATACAGATGACATGCATCACCAGGGCTGATCAGAGAGCTTGGTGATGGCCCCTCAGTAAACATTTATTATAGTGGATAAACTAGAGCTTTTACAAAAGTAAAACTAGAATCTCGAACATTTATGATATTCCTTTGAAACTGCATTCAGATATGATTTGAGAGTCAGAAAACCATTTGCTTTATTTTAGAAAGACATTTTTTTTAAACAACAGCAATGAAAATATAAAATGCATCTGTGTTGACTGACTATTGACCTCGGTCACTAGGCTGGGCATCTGCTAGTATTAATTGGCATTTCACCAGCCCTTGTATCACTTTACAACTACAAGACACTCTAAAAATGAACCTAGCCTTAAAGGAAAGACTTCATGCCATTCATGATCTGAAAAGAAAGTATCACAGGATTCTCAAAACCACTCCATGGTAGAACAATGCAGACATTATTGGAGTGGGACATGGCCTCCCTTCTTCCAAGGACATAACTCCGAATGTGGAGTGAAAGTTCTGGCCTACTGTTTCAACATTTCTCTGAAATTACTTTCAAGTCACAGGTCCTGTCAGAGACTCAATAAAAAAAAAATGGCTTTCACACTGCTGTGCACAACTAGAGTGAATCATGGTGCCATCACCACCTGGAGCTATAGAAATAGTTCAGATTTTTAGCAACACTCTCTGCTCTGCTTGTCAAGTACATTTTGACTCCTTGTTTGGAATATTCAGACTTGTTCAAACTACCCATCTGCCAAGTAGGAGAGTATACCAGTAACCTTGGCCTCAAACTTAAGTTCTCTCTCTGAGCATTCACATCCATTGGCACCTTTGAGCTATATCTGGTGACTTCAAATACACATTTTTGATATCTTTACAGCTTAGTAACACTCTATGATTAAACCCTAAAGTATACTTTTCCTGTGAGGTGGAAGGACAGGCTTTTGTCCCAGTGTTGACTGTGTTTTATCCACTTTCCTGTAGCTTAGCATCACAAGAAGGTAAAAGGGGCAAAGCTACTCGTGGACAAGGGCGTTGCTGGAAGAAGGCAGTCCTGTTTCTAATAATATTGCCGAGAAAATCATCTGACTTTAATAATTGTAGTGCAATGACAGTTTTCAATATGTGTTTCAGTAATGTTAATGTCACATTAATGAGCAGCTGACTGTGCCTGCAGTAGGCTATTCTAATTTTCCTTGCCTCTTGCCTCTCTGCAGACATTTCTTGTGTTCATGAGGATTGCTAGGGGCTACTGGTACAAGGATGGAGAAGGTCCTGTCCTCAGGCAGCTTTCTGTTTCATTGGGAGTACATAGGGAAGAATAACAAGAAGACATTTGCACAGAAGATAAAGACCTGGGGATTACAGGGGCTGGTGATGGGTAGTGGGGCCAGTAAGATAGAGGCAGAGGTGGTGCCTGAGAAATGTCAGCTAACAAGGTGACTGGGGAGGGGGGTCCTTCATTCTAGCAGTAAAAGCACAGAGATTAACAGTGCATTATATTGGGGCTGGGGTGGTGGATTAGTGGTAGAGCACTTGCCTAGCATGTGTGAGGCACTAGGTTTGATTCTCAGCACTACAGATGAATGAATGAATAAAATAAAGGTCCACCAACATTTTAAAGAATTTAAAATGTGCATTATGCCACTGAAAATAAGTTTAAAATTGCAATATACAAGATAGCCCTCTGATACATTAACTCTGGCGAATTGATAGAACATACCTTGTACCACAAAATCATCAAAACCCAAATATTAGCTACATATATGTATTACAACACATACATTTTTTCTGGAAATCATTTCCAGGTTGGTACTGATTTCTTTCTTTCTTTCTTTCTTTCTTTCTTTCTTTCTTTCTTTCTTTCTTTCTTTTCTTTTCTTTCTTTCTTTTTTTTTAACCAAGCATTGGTTTTGAAGGCAGCTAATAAATTTATGCAGTCAAAGTATAAGAACAAGCCCATGCCTTAAAGAAAACATTAAGGGAACACTTCAAAACCATACTAAACAAAGTGTAACTATTCCTAAACTAATTACAATTATCTACAGAATAGTTCCATATACTCGATTACACATTTACACTGTGTTCCTTGAGAAGACTAACCACAAAGAATAATTGCATTCTTGTTTTTTTTTTTTTTTTTAAGAGAAAAAAAAAATGCTCAGGGTTTTTTTCCAGGAGCACTGACAAATTCAGAGCATATATTATACTTCCATTACATATAGACATGGATACAGCAACTCAAAGCCCATTTGCATATTCATGCAGCTAAATATATGCAGCATGCAAGAGCAACTCACAGATATTCCTAAAGAAGACACGTTGAATCTCCAGTGTTACTTTACAAGTGCACTTTACTACTCCCTTCCTTCATTCACAGCACCAAGGGGATCTTCTGTTAAGTTATGGGATATCTGAAAGGCAAGCTGGGTCACCACATCCCTTGCACACGTCATCTCTACCTGTTCCCTAGGAGCCCACCGACACAATACAGCAAAGATCACATACCTGGCTGAAGCTCTGGCCCCCAGCTCGGGCTTGAGTGCTTCGGGCTGGGAGCTGCGAAGGGGCTGTGTCACTCAGGGCCAGAGTCTGGTTGCTATGGTAGCTGGCCGGATACTGGAAAGACCCTTCAGGTTTGGAATTGAGCTGAAGTGCACTCTGGGAGAGCAGGCTGGGCCCTGCATTGAAAGTCATTTAAAGCAGTCAGTGACAGTCTCAGTGAAGCAGAAATGACATGTATTATTTATTGAGAGTAGCCTAGAATTATCACATGCACATGATTCCAGCCATCTATGCTTTGAATTCTGAGAACTAAAATGACCATATAATTCGACTTTAGCTCACAAATGAGATTTTTTTTTTTTTTTGGCAGTTTAAAAGTTCTCAAAGGAGTAGATTTTTCAAATGATCTCATCCTGACCTACATAGAGACACTTCTAATTGGAGAAATTAGTTAATCAAGTAGTTATTTCTGGATCATACAATATCAGAAACATATGAAATAATGTAAAAGTCTAGCTTTCAGTACATATTAATTGTGTTAATATAATTACATCTCCCAGATAATGATCAAGATGCTATAACACTTGAAACCTTCCAATCAGTGACAAATTCCATTGTATAAATAGTGATGTAATACCTCATTGCCAGAAGGGTAGATTGTGTTTAAAATATTAATAGCTCTTCATACAATGTAGAATTCACCCTGATCTCACATAATCTCTGATAACTAGTTATCTCTGCCATCACAGCATCGCTCAGTAGGAGAACAAAGAGAAGACACAGTGTTAAAATTGGTGCCGCTAACATGGTTGATAATACAAGGGATGAATAAATGAGAATCAGGTCCTGGCCTCATAATTTAATTACCATTTCATATGAAATGGTGTGTTATTTTTTTATGCTCTGTGTAGATAGGATCCTTGCAAGGGTTTACCCACTTTCTTTTCAGGCAAATTTTCAAAAATCAAATTTAATACTCACTTTGAGTGTTAAGAGGAGCATCGGGGAACAGAAACGTACTTGCTAGTTTGCATTGTGTGTTTAAGAGGGAGCCGAGGTAAGAGGAGTGTGATAAGCCATCCAAGTTTTCTCATGTTTCTTTGTAACATGGAACAAAGGTGCATTTTTGATGAATGGTAATAATATAACATCGCCTGTCCTCTACCCATTAAACCATCCTTGGTCCCCTCCTTTGTCTGTTTTAGACAGTAGCATCATTTCTAATAAGCATGAGCATTTTCCATTTATTCCTTTTTAAGGTAAGTGACAGCCTAGATTTGACATGAGACAGACTGGTCTTGCATAAGAGAACACATTGTTTTTATGCACGTGAACTTTGCCATTTAAGTCTTTCCTTTTCCTTTTGATTCTCTGGTGGAACTTCTAAACAACATATAGATCCTTTGTTTTTTAAAAGCACAGGATATTGAATAATAAGGCAATTAGCTTATATAAAAAAGACTTGGTATTTTGTAAGTGATGTAGTTTCTGGGAAAAAAAAAAGTCAAACAAGGAAACAGAAATGTTTCCATTCATCTCCAACTTCATTATAAAGGGCATAACAAAAGTACAGCTATAATTCTTTTTCTTTTAATTTAAAGCATATAGTCCCAAGAAAATAGTATATACCAGATGGTTAAGTTTCCAATAGTCTGTACAAAAACCATTTAATGCATATTGAAGGTATTGCAGGCCTAATGGTCAGATACACAAGTCTCTGGAGAGAGATGCATTCAGAATCTCATTCTGGATGCCAGGGACATGTCTCCATCGCTGCAGTGGAAGCTGCCAGGCTCAGCAGCAAGGGGAGTTCTCTAAAGGTCCTGGCAATGTATCTGCTGAGATATGGGAGAGCCTTTGGGAGGCAAGGGAGGGGACACTGTTGAGGACCCTGGCACATGAGGACTACCCATAGGGAAGAGGAGGAAGTCAGCACTGGCAGGGTGGTGATGGATTTTGGCCACGGGTGCTACCCTTGGTCCCTGATGAAGGTCACATCCTAATGGAGAAGAGTGAGCTATGGTGAAGAGCAAAGGCCCTTTCAGGTTAATGGTGACCATTGTACCTGCTAATGGGCAGCTTCCCACTGTGGCTTCCATGGGCTATTTCTTTCAGGACAGTCCATTGAGGACATAATAGTCTGTACTGGCCACGCCATCTTCCCCACAATAATACATCTCAAAGGCAATGAAGGTTACAGCAGACACGCAGCAGTACACAGACTTCACAAAAGTCGATAGGATGAAGTAAAATATGATCTTTAATTTTATGTATTTTAACGGAGTCTATAAAGGAAAATAGGTGCATGCCTAATTATTTGCCTTTCGACTAGATTGTGAATTTATTCTGATGAACTTTCTTGATATGTAGTTAGCAAGCAAAATAATTCTGTGTATTCTAAATAGGTTCAAACAATTATCTCCAGAAACCTACAAATGATGCTTGGCAGGAGTTTTAGATGACAATGTAAAGTCCCTTTTAAAAAAAAATTCAATTAAATTAATTTGCTTCTAAAAAATATGTCATGGAATAATCAAATCTGATCGTCTGTTGTAGAATCAGCTATGTATTTGATCAATACTCAATGAAAACAAACCAAGATTCTCTATTTCATTATTTTGTTCAAACATCTCAAGTGCTGAAGTCTAGATGTGCTCTGACAAAGGTAATTGCGACAATGAGCAATAGATCATCATTTTACAACACTGACATCACCTGGCAAGGACAGAACCGCAGGGACAATAGCAAGCTGCGGGTGAGTTTGAGAATGATTCTTTCCACTGCTCACTAGGTACTGATTCAACCCTATTTATTCATTCCAGTTTTGAAAAGCATAGATGTATGAAAATATGAAAAAGGTTAAAACGATAGGACAGTTCTTAATTACTTTATAATGGGAGTAAAATTTGCATATAACTAACTCTCAATTAGTTTTATCAACATTACTGTGCATTGAGGTAGAAAATACAAATGTGCCAAAGATTTTAAAAGCATTTATAGTTTTTTACTTTATTTTTTTTTCTCCAGAACTTTTGAGTTTACATCAGTTCTTGCTTGAGCTAGAGGTAAATCAGGCTGTTGGAGCTGGAAATGGCTAATGTGGAAGATGTGGTAGGGAAGAGGGAGAGGCTGGGTGTTAAGATTCTAGCTGGGGAAAGGACATGTTGTCTTAGTGCAATTGGTTGCTTCCAGAGAAACCTGAACTGTGAGCTACAGTGAGTCATGAAGCCCTTCTAGGTGGGAGAAAGCGAAGCCATGTTCTGGCACGTACATCTTCAGAACATCCATCTGAGGGGTTGCAAAGACTTTGTTGACCATCCTGGACTTATCCCATCACTTCAAAGTCCTTGTACCTGAGCCCAGGGACCTGTTCAAAAAGACTGACCTTTTAAAGGAGAGGAGGTCACACCATTTACAGACAAAGTGATAATGCTCAGGACACTCTTCTGTCCTAGGTCTGATGAAAACTCACTATCTCCCACTGAGCAGAGGAAAGATCTCAAGGAAACTATATAGTTGATCCCACTAACTTAAGAACATACATGAAGCAAAGTACCTTTTTATTAATTATTATTATTATTTGGTACCAGGGATTTTGAACCCAAGAGTACTCAACCACTAAGCCATATTCTTGGTCCTTTTTTATTTTTTAAAAATATTTTTGTATTTTATTTAGAGACAGGGTCTCTTGGAGTTGCTTAGTGTCTCACTAAATTGCTAAGGATGGCTTTGAACTCATGATCCTCCTGCCTCAGCCTCCTGAGCTGCTGGGCAAAGTACCTTTTTAAAACTGTTTATTTGATGTACTGGAAATTGAACCCAGGGCCTCGTGATGCTAGGTAAGTGTTTTATTTTGAGACAGGTTGTTGCTACCTTGCTGAGGTTGGCCTCCAACTTGAGATCCTCCTTCCTTAGTTTCCAGATTATTTGGGATCACAGGTGCATACCACCATGGCATTTCCCCCCTGAAAAGGATCTCTAGTAAAATATTTTGGCCTCAATAGGTTTTCAAATACACTAGTTGATTAGAGAAAACACAACAACTTGCAAACAAAATTATACTTTTATCTTTTTCATTAATCCTACAGGTATAAACAGAAGCAAAGAGAGGTTAAGCTATCAGCTGCTGTTGTACATGTGATAATTTAAAGATGAGATTTAGATTTTGGTCTTCTGTCTCCAAGTCCAGGAGTTGTTATCTAAGGTCAAGCACATTTATTGAATTCACAAATATACACACAACAACATGTTAGGGCTGAAAAAGTATTTCTTGAATGGAGGACCTCTTGTTCATAGAAGAACTCTTCACACCTCAGATTACGGTTCTTTCCCAGCAAACTGCTGCTTGGAGATTTCAGGTGCTAGCTGGGGAGCTTGCTGTCTACCACCAGGGGAACAAAGTCTACTTCAATGAATGTAGAGGCCAAAATACTAACGTTTACATAAAAATCCAGACCCACTTATAGGTCATATAAACAAAGACATTATAATACACCGTTTCTTTTGATCCAATTAACTAGATATTTTAGTTTCCATGACCATGTGCACTGGATCTGTTTGCACAAGTTTAAAAGCAGACTTTATCTGAAGTATTAATTCTTGCTGGCTTTACCTAAGTTTCTGTCCCAGAATACAGTAAAGTGTAATAAAAAGACACACTGTGTAATAATACAGAAAATGCCCAAGGCCTCCAATATGGCATTTTTAAGTCATGGTCATGCTAATGAAGTGACTGGTATATGTTGGGGGTAAAAAAAATATAAACCAGGACTAGATGCTTTCAGACCTGGGCCCTAGTCCTCCTTCAGGTTCATGTAGGCAGAGAGGGTGATGACCATAGTGGTGGAGGTCACAGTAAAACCAGCCAACAGGGACTGAGTACTTACTAAGTTCCGGGGACTGTCCTGGGCAACTCCTACCCTGTTGACTTTTAACACATCCCAGTGCAGAAGCGTCTGCCATTCCTTCTGATGCTGGAGGCACTGAGGGTCCCTCTAGCTGAGCCCACAGTTAGTGGTGGGCATGGGGTTCAAACACTGCATGCTGGCTTCAGATTGTATGTCCTTAACATTATTCTGTCCCTGCACATTTTACTATCTCTACATTTGAGCACCTAAATGAGATAATGGCTGTGAAAGCACTTGGAAAAATATAAATTCCAATGTGAATGTCAGTT